TCTTCTTCATCCACGAGCGTGGAATTCCATAACAAACAATGTCAATGACTTCGTCATGGTTCAACGTTTGGTTGGGTCCAAAAGGTGGTAGACGAGGAAGTTCATCGGTGTTCATCCGACTGAGGTTGTTGACATAAGCCCGAGTAGACATATCAGCAGCTTACGCATCTTGCGGCGCATGAAGCGTTTCTGCTTTTCAAGAGCTTGTAGGGACAGACCGCTTCGACACAGGCATTTAGCCGAACGTAATGTCAGAGTCGTCCAAAGCAGGCTGAGCCTGCTCCGTCCCAGGCATTCTGAAACGTGCTTGGAAAGTGGCTTCGTCTTCACACCACGTAGTCGCGTGGAGGAATCGCGTTGACTGCAATCTGGCGAAGCATTCCAACGTAGTTCACGGTGGCCTGCACAGCTAGATTCGTAACTGCTCTTGGCAGAGCTAGAAGCATCTCCTTGAGGAGGTTATGTTTATCGGTAGGGTAGCAATGGCGAGCCCACGAAGACCTTCTCCATGCGTCCAGCCCACTTGATGGTCTGACGTGGAGTCTCAGATCCATTGATGATTTGGACCTTGAAGGTGTACTTGGCGCTGTTGCATTTGCTGGAACAGTGCAAGTTTGTAGGTGGTAGAGCGAGAATCGTCGATTCGCATTCATCGTCGAGGTCGATGAGAGGAAGGATTGGTTTGTCGCGCAGCTTAGACTCGAAGCTGGTGTAGCGTCTTTGCAATCTTCATGGTGAGGAATAGTTAAGGGTAGCTGAAAGCTATTGTGTTTTGTTAACAAAATGCACTACGCTAAAAGCTAGTGTAAAGATCTTCGAGTGTTTTGAGTTTGAGAGAATGAAAGTTATGAGAGGATTAGAAAGCTATGAAAACTAATCAACGAGAGAGATCCACAATCAAAGGATCATAGATCTAACTCCCGCGGGAGACTGTAGAGTGTGATAGAGTAGGTTGCGGTAGCAATCCTACTCGCTCCACGATCCAAAAACGGAACCGCGTGGAAGATTCGTCTAGCATTTATCTAGTAGCGTGGAAGTACTCCACGCTGGCTAAATATAGAGCGATGTTTCATCATCACCTAGTATGACTAGCGGTCATTGAGAACCCTGTCTCAATGACTATTCACGAAAGACTCAGTCATGAGTCGAACTCAAACCCTATCTAGGATCGAGTCGCGAATAAGGCTAAGAGCCGTGTATTGCACTTCGTCTGCTGCCTTGGAGCAGATCTCTGCAATCTCGAACCATCCGGTTAGGGATCAATCATTGTCAAGCAATGAAGTGTGCAGGAATTTCTTTTTCTTAGGATCCCGACGTTGTAAGGACCATCAGGTCAATACATAGTCTTTCCAAGGGATCTCTCGCAAGTTTTGGAGGCATCAATCCCAGCTTACGCGTCTTGGTTTGTTCATCTGGCAGCTTGGGCAACGCTGAACAACGGCCTGCACAGTCTTGGCAGTCCTTTCCAGGTGTAGTGTTGGCTGAGGTTAGTTCTGTGCGAGTCTCGCCAGGATGCATCAGCACACCATGGTACCATTCAACTAGCTTCTTTTGCATAGTTTTAGGTACAGATTTTATCGTCCTTAATACTAAGTCGTAAGACTTATCCCCTCTGGGGAAAGATTGCTTCTTGTAGTCGTTTGGCTTGTCCCTGAGGAGTTTCTTGATATCGTTTCGTCTTTCTGACGATGTTGATCTCGGGAACGAGAGAGGGAACTCGCTAGGGAAGCCCTCTTCGTCTGCAGCCATGAGCTCAGCGATCTCGCTCATGAAGAAAGTCTCCAAACGCTGCGGTCAAGCTTATCGCAAAAGAAAAGCGATGCAACCATGTTGCCAAAGCGCAAGTCGGACAACTCCGACAACGAGGACGACTCCTCTGTTGGATCCATCAACATGATGGACAAGAAGATGGCTGCTGTCGACAAGGCGCTTGCCGATTATCGACTTCAATCATTCGGATGGAGAGATCTCCGTCTAGGATTGGCCAGGATATGATTCAACGGAACCAGTTCCGATTTTCTCATACCTAAGTGATGAAGAATCTCAATAATAGAAACAAGATTTGTTTGCAACTAAGAAGTCACGGCAAATAGATATTGCCTAGCGACTACTCAATAACACTGACGATCTGTCAGCATCGTTAACTTCGTCCATGGCCAATCAACTCATCAACGTCGCAAAACAAGAGACCTCAAACTATCGTCTATGTAGATTTAACGAAGAGAAAGGGAAACAAAACCCGTTACACTCTGTTGCTTACTGGATACAGAAGCATCCGGGATTTTAATTACTCAAACCATGCAAGAGTTTACTGCATGAAGATCATGGGGCGTCCAAACACTACGAATTGCTTCTACGAAGGAATTGAACACCGCACGAAGTGCAAGGGCACACTCGCGATTCCTGAGTTCCACGATGAATGAATTATCAAATGGATTTACACGTCACCAAGAACTTGGGGGGCAAAGACGTATCATAGGTCAAGACACTCTCCGACCTAGAATCAAGTTTGATTTCAATACCATGTCATTGGGTGGAACCAGCATTTTTCCCGGCGAAAGATGGCAATACCAATAGAAAGGAGAACTTCCCATTTCCGATCCTGCAGCGTCAGCGACAATGCAGGTAGTCATCAAGAAGATTCTTGATACAACATACGAACGAATAGATTAAGGCAGATGTGCCAGAGTCGAAAACGTTAAATAAGGAAGAGCAAGAATGCCTCATGCCTTTTCAACCAAGTGCTTCGACCCAGTCGAGGATACTTTGGGAGAGTAGCGAATGGACGACTACGAAGTAGAACTTCGTCCCGACGCTAAATCCTATTATACTAGGGCTCACCTACTCCACGGGTCCATACCAACACTCTTGAGAAGGAGGTTGAACGTCTCTGCGAGGCAGGAGTACTCAAGAAGGAGAATCGTTCCAAGTGGGCGCACCAACTTTTATCATTCCCAAGAAAGAGGATCTGTACGATTCATCTCTGATTTCGGGAACCGAACAAAACGGATCAAGCAGAAGCCTTATCCTACCCAAAATACAGGACATGCTCTTGAACCTAGAGGATTCAAGTGCGTACTAGTCTAGACCTGAACACGGGACACTACCACATCGAGCTGTCACCTCACTCGAAGCAACCCTGTACCATTGCACTCCCGAAGGGAAAGCACGAGTACCAGAGGTTGCCAATGGGCTTATGTAATAGTCCGACATCTTCCAAAGGAAGATGAAAACACGCATGCATGACTTAGAAAATGTCCGTGCATACATGATGATCAACTCATCCTAACTGACGCGATCTGGCAGATCGCGTTGAATAGTTAGATGACCTTTCCAAAGACTTCAAGAAGTCGGGGTTAAAATCAACACTACCAAGGCCTTCCTCGAAAGGAAGAACTGAGTATCCAGACAATTGGATTACTCGAGAAGGAAGCCAACCCTTAACTAAAAGGATAATAGATGCGATCGCTCTTCCTACTAACAGGAAGGAACTTCGTAGATTCATTGGACCAATGAACTACCAAGGGCTGCTCCAAGACAGCAGACGATAACCATCGTTCTAAACAGACGTGGGTTACCAGTATCCATGACGCGGTTGTCATGGACAGAGAACGTGAGTCCCGCGCAGAGGTCGAGAAGACTCTCGGGATGAAAATGGACTTCTCGCAAGTTCACGCGCGTCAATCGTGACAGACTCACCACATCCGTTTCAAAGCAAACCGGAAATACATTAAAGGAACGTCGCCAACGACTTATCCAAAAACACCGATAAGAGAACACGGCACGTGTCCCTCATCAACACCATGTCAACGATACTATGATATCATCAGTATCAGAACGCTAGTACGGTCAGCCAACGCACAAGGTCTTACACACAGACCGAGTCAATAACAATGCACTGTACGCTCCGACATACTACCGCCAGTAGGGCACAGTCTACCAGACTTGGAACATAAGGTATTTACACCCATACAAGGCCTGATCCCCTTGTAGGATTCATCGTGCGACGCACATGTCTACATCCAATCTCCGGAGAGTGCCCCGCACTTAATTCATATGTTCTCCTTGTCCGACTGATGTCGTGCCTTCCGTGACCCTTGTCAGGGGGCGAATGCAATACACGGCTCTTAGCCTATTCGCGACTCGTCCTAGATAGAGTTTGAGTTTCGACTCATGACTGAGATCTTTCGTGAATAGTCATTTGAGACAGGGTTCTCAATGCCGCGCTAGTCATACTAGGTTGATGATGAAACATCGCTCTAGATATTTAGCCAGCGTGGAGTACTTCCACGCTACTAGATCCAGGCTAGACAAACCTTCCACGCGTTCCGTTTTAGGATCGTGGAGAGACGTAGGATTACTACCGCAACCTACTCTATCACACTTCATAGTCTCCCGCGGAAGCCAGATCTACGATCCCTTGATGATGATCTCTCTCGTTGATTAGTTTTCATAGCTTTCTAATCTCTCTCATAAATTTCATTCTCTCAAACTCAAAACACTCGAAAGATCTTTACACTAGCTTTTAGCGTAGTGCACCTTTAATTGTTTTTCCTGCTACGGTGGTCCCTGCAGGTATAAGGGTAGGGTTAGAATACAAATAAGTCAGCAAAAACTAAATAAGTATCCTAGGATGGTGCTTTAAACCAGCTAAAGCTATTTACATGCATCCTAGTAGGGGGATCTGCTTCTACCAGGAAAAACTCTAAAGCCAGCGAAAGCTATCATAGATATAACTTGTATTCTAGCTAGCTAGGGGTATCTGCTTCTAGCTTGCTATGAGAATCTGCTTCTAGCTAGGGGGGATCTGCTTCTAGCTAGCTAAGCGCAAGTTAAGCACTAGCTAGCTAAGCACTAGAGGTATCTGCGTCTAGCTAGCTCTAGCTAGCTAGCTAATAGAGGTACCGGTATCTGCTTCTACACTGAAACCTTTCTGCCGAGGTTACACAGCTCCGCTGGCTTATTTATAGTTGCAAATGTATACATGTACTTGTCTGTGCGTGCTTGATGGAGCTGATCCGGAACACGGAATTTGACCCCATTGGTTCGAACACATCATCATCGGCGGCACGGCCCCTTCAGGTACAACGACCTGGTTCATCACCAGCTAGTGGTAGCCCTTAATGTTTGAACTCGTCTGTCCGCCTGAATGGCGTAATGCCCGCGCAAATATTTAATTGGGCCTTGGCAAGATTTTGATGGTTCCAGATCAGTCCATGGCAGCAGCCATGGAGCTCATCCCAGTGCCTGCAATTGATCATCTTGATGGTGGGTGTTGCCGTGTGACGTCCATTTCCAAGAAAAGGTTCGTCGTGGGTTTTGCATGCCGAGACATCAAGTTGTGAGGGGTCCTTGCCAGTACTTGTACTAGCGTGTATTTGATGTTGGAGAAAAAGATCTCTGGCTGTTTTGAAAAACCAGGGTTCGCGGCTGACATTCATGGATGCGTTTTGTGGCATCTCCAATCCCAGTGCCTTTGCCAGTTCGAGAGATCTTGGACTGGGTTGCTACGTAGAGCTACTACATGTAGCTAGCGTGTATTCTTTGATCTCGGAGAAGAAGAACAATGGCTGTTTCGGAAAACTTCATTGCTGCGTTATTGTTTTGTTGAAGCTGCAATTCTCGGGATTTTAACTTCACTGCCCTTCTCAGCTCTCCATGGAGCTAGTAGAAATGTGCAATTGTCGAAATCGTCAATGACCACAAGCCCCGATTGCCGCCGAACCTGCATCTACCGCTACTACGGCGCCGTTCCGTGGGACCACATTGGTTTGCTACTATTGGCCATTGTGAACGCATAGAAGCAGCAAACAACAAAATCGGCGCAGTTCTGGTCTTGGGACTTCCGTCGTGTTCGGTCGCGTCCCATTCAGCCCCACTTTGCGGACACTTGCAAACTTCCCGGCCGCACATCGAGGAGATCTACACTCTGGGACACACTTTTTCCTTTCTGCCCTCCTCCTTTGCCACCCTTTCCTCCCTTGTTTTGATGCTGCTCTGCTCACTCGATCGTTTGTTCCTCAGCATGCATTCTTCCATCCTGCCCTCTTCCTCTGTCACCCATCCTCCCCATAGCCCCCTCTAACCCATAGTAACGTCATTCTTCGACCAAGCAAAGGGGGTTTAGAGTAAGTAGCTTATCTAGCGAGGGCCAAACTTAAGCAAAGCAACGGCATTGGCAACTGACCGCTCGATAATGAAATCCAAAGATCCAAACCTCAGTGCCTGGCACTCGTTCCAGTCCAGTTGTGCTTCGGGACATGCTGCTACAGCTGGGTGGCGTCCAGGATGATTCGTCGATTCCAGCCGACGGATCTAATTCGGTGTTGGGTACGTACTATTTGTCGAGTCTCAGATTGCTCTCCGGGCACTGTAATCCATCCACTATGATATGTGCTTAAGCTAGCAATGATTTCTTAGAAGCTTTGCAGGCATTGGAAATGGAATTGTGTGTCATTGAGCCTCAATATGAACATGAAGCAACTCACAAATTCTAGACCTCCATAGTATTGACATGCAATTCTGGTATTCCCTCCATACCTTCCTCTATGCTGCCAAATGTATTACTGCCAAATCCACTACGATGCGAAACAACACTTTCTGTAGTTAGGGTCCCAGCAGACCTGGGAGTCACAAAGTAGCTGCAGGGAGCAAGGAACAACAAAAAGATCATGAGGGATCCAAAGTTTGAAACTGTGCCAGAATGGAACTCAACATGCAACACTCTACACTCACGTTGTCATGACACCCTTCCCCTTGGCCGTGATCTTGTCTTGTCGCTCCGAAAGCCAGTCGCCCTTGTTCTGGGCCATCAAAGAGTCCGCGGTAGACTGGGAAATGTGAATGCGCCCCTTCACACCGTTGCTTTCCATGCGGGCAGCAGTATTGACCGTATCTCCAAAGAGTTGGAAGCGAGCCTTTTGGCCCCGCAGCACTCCTGCGGTGACGGGACCACTGTGCAAGCCAACTCGAAAGCCCAGGGTTGCGGTGTCTTCTCCAAGGCTGTCAGACAGTTCAGCAGTGACTTCAGTCATTCGGTTCATGCAGTCTCGAGCAAATCGACACATGATTACAGCATGAGTGTTTTGTGGTTTGGGGCAGCCCGTGATCGCTACGTAACAGTCTCCTATTGTTTCGACTGAAAGGAAACGAAACAAGAACAGGATTAGGTCTCAGAATGGATTTATGGTTTCCTATTTCTTCTTATCAAATCCGTACCTTTGAACACTCGCCGACGGTCCGCAATCTTGTCGAATTCGCCATAGAGTGTCTCTAGCAATTGAAACACTTCGGTGGGCTGTCTTTTGGCACTCCAAGCTGCCGTGGCGTGGATTGGGGGGCAAACAGACGGGGATGTATGTCAGATGAGATGGCATATAGATTCAAAATCAATCCTTTGACACAACGTACCCGTAAAGCCAGCAAGATCAGCAAAAAAGACAGTGCATTCCGGATGAAGCTGTGCGATTTGATTCATGTCATTGACCAAAGGCAGTGAGTGCAGTCCTGGTACTTGACCACTCTTATAATTTCGCTGTTGCTCTTCCTTCTGAAACTTGGCCTTGTTTTCTTCATAAAGCTTTTGGGCCACTTCCTGTGGGAACAGGCTGGAAACAATGGCACCGGATGCCACGGCGCGGTCCATGACTTTTCTTTGGCGTCGTTCCACCAGGAAATCGTAACAGACAAAGACAAGCGACGTAAAGACAAAGATGCCTGCAGCAACAATGGTCAGATAGAGAGGTGTGTTGGTGCGATGATTGTCCTCCATGTCCTGCGATGGATAGATGTTGATGGTAATGGGACAAAAGTCTGCAGCCAATGGGACTCCAGTGTAGGAAGTGCCATGGTCAAAGACATTAGGATCAGTCAACGCCTGGAGTACCACTGAGCGGACCATGTGATCGTACTTGGGATCATGGTGATCCCCCGTTCCAAGGTAGGTGGTTTGGGCACCATCAATGCGATAGGTGAATGGGATGGCTGTGAACAATGATGACACGGGGTTGAGCCAACACATGGTTCACTCCAGCAAACAAGCAACACAAACATGAGCTTGTCGGCTCAACATACCAGCACCACATGATTGTTCGGCAACCACAATAATCCCATTGGACTTTTCGGGTAGAATATTCCGAATCCATGCTTTGAATTGAATGCTGAGTCCAAAGAACCCCACAAAGTCTTCTGGACTGGCACGACTGCTGTCATCGAGATAGACAGTATCAACGGCATCAAAGATGGGCATCATAATGGAGCAGATGGGTTCAGAGGGGTCCTCTTCTTTGGGAAGGAATAAACTGTAAAAGCCAATCAATGCTAAGTATTGCTGCTCTTGAACGGGATCGGATCGATTGAAATTGATATTGGAAAACTGTCCAATGGCTGCCTTGCGTTGTGTCTTCATCATGTTCATGACCTTTGAAGTTTCCCTAGAGGCTCGTGCCATATCGACATTGTAGGGACACCCATTTCTACTCCCGGCCCCAGTCACAATGGGATATTCCATTACCTTGGGAAGATAAAAGCCCACATCAGGACGTGGCAGGTCGACCACTTGTCCTCCCCAGGTGTACAAGTCCGGACAGGTCCTGTTTTTGTACGCTTTGTAGATCAACCCGTCGTAGTCGGGATCCGTCTCGGCCACAGCCAACCCCTCGTCGATCCATGTCTTGTGGGTCTCATTGATGAATGTCTTCCATTCGGGGACTTGTTCCTGCTCCAGTTTGGGCGCCACATAGAGGTTAAAGCCTTTAGAATTGCGCAGCATCTTGGTCGCTTGTAGACCAAAGGAAGGCAGAGTGACAAAGGGGAATGCCGTTGTTTGGTTGGGCAGTCTCTTGGGGAGTGTTCGAGAGTGAGCCACCAGATTGACCAGGAGAGCATCCGCCGGTCCCAACGTGTTGTCCAGCGTCTTGCCTGTTTCTTCAATCACCTTGGCAGCATCCGAGTCAAACTGGTCCTCAAAGGCTGCCTTTTCCCCATTATCCAAGAACAGGTACACGGATGTGGAAACACCCACAGCGGCGCCCAGCAAGACCAACATCACCACCATTCGAAGGCAAAAGACCGCCTTGTCTTCCTGCTTCCCAATCACCTCTTGCACTGGTTGGTTGGGATTCACTTCCTTGCTCACATCACCCACATTATGGTGAGTGCTCTCATCCACAAACTCGGAAAAGTCCTTGGGATCACTGGGAGGTCCTTGTGTGCTGTCCAGCGGGGTCGTGGTGCTTATCAAAGAGGGAATGGTTGTATTCATGGTTCCACCGTAGATATCGAAGCAACTAAAGAGAAATCTGCGGTAGAAAGATGCAGGAAGATTAGTAAGTTAATTTTGTGTGGTCTATCTGGAGGCTACCGTGTCTACAGTACACTGCATGGGGATGCCCTGCATGGTCTGCGATGTGCCACAGCACGGTCGTGCAGCCGTGCAGCCCACACGCTACCATGATGTTCGAATCCACACATTTATTTTTTGTTGTTGTGCGGATCGACTTCGAATTCCTTGTCATCATCACGGAAAGTTGAAGTTGCAAAACCGGCAAAAAATCTCCCCCAAGAGCACACAACGCCCCTGTTTAACGGACTGCAATAGCTCTGCAATTGCCCTCAACTCTTGCGTTTGAACTCAGTTTGAACACCCTCTAAGGCATTTTGATGGTCTTCGAGGCATTTTGAGCGGCCTCTAATTCACTCAGGATAATCTGTTGTTATTGTTTAGTGTACATCAGCATTAGAGCTTTCTGTTTCTATTCACTCGGATCATGCAGCTTCCCTCATTGGTTGGCCTGAAACGCCTCGTGCACATATCATGCTTGACCATCAAGACATTCCTTTAAAAGGCATTCTCGACCCGATTAAGTCATTCAGGTCATTCAAATGTTATTGTCGAAACTGCATTGGGACTGGCACTTCCGTTTTCATCTATTCAGAGTACATCTCTACCGGTAGCTAGGGAGGCTCCGTGAACTTCGATGTCGGTGCGATTGCACCTACCCTTCCAGTTGCATCCATGACTCCAAGACACAAAAAGGCATTCTCGACACCTTTTAATTCATCATGAATCGAATATTAATAGCAGTATATAAATAATAGTATCTGGTGCTTAAATCCGGGTCATCATGAAACTTTCCATCCGCGTCCCTCGTTTCGATCTTGTTCTCGATAAGTCGCTTGATCGCTTGTTGAGTCGCTTGAGCATCGGCATTGCCCCAGCCACTCCTTCCGATGGATCGTTGCTGTCATCTCTCATGACAATGGCGTCGAACGGCGACAGTACCGTACCAGTGCTAGCGGCCTGAGCTCCGACCAGCGGCTACATGTATCATGGCAAGCTACTCTTGTTCTAGCGGCGGCCTAGTGCGAGGCGATCGATTGACTGCTTCCACGGATCTTCTTCGCACGGAGCCACGGAGTGACAATGGCTTCCATTCGATGACACGGAGCGACCATACCGCGAAGATAACGACGCGAAGATCATGGAACGTGTAATCCTCGTTAGCTCCACAGCCACAGCTTCTTCCGTTCGATCGACTGCTTCTTCCTGCTTCCACGGAGCGACCACAATGACAGTACGAATCACCGAATCGAATCGGCAACTCCAAAGGAAACTTGCAGGGCCACGATGCCAAGGAACTGTTTCGAGCGGATCTACCCATCACCATTGAATTCGCCATCCCTCACATGGTCATTATGTATACCGCTTTGGATTTTGGAAGCCTTCCTGTAGAGATTCATTGCTTGAAGCAATTGACTGCTAACAACCAGTACAGCGTCACCGACACCGACCAACCATCTCACAATTCTAACAACTAGCTAGAGAATCAAAATCATCAAACAACCTAAAAGCATTTTGCCTACGACTGTAGGTTTTTGCATACCGGTAGCGCAGAGTGACTCGGAGGGGAGGAGGGATGGATCACATGCCCAGTCTCGAGACAAGTGGCGTAACTCTCTTGCAGGACAGGCTCCCAGCCAAGACTTGATGTTGATCCATGCATTGTCGAATTGGTGTGGTTGGCTACTGGGCTCTGCCTTGTACGTATGATGTCTGGAGGAGCCATGCGTGCTCTTTTGAATGCCGCTAACTATTTGCTGAGTTGCACCTTGCTCTCTGCTATATACATGCACTATGTTAGCTGTGGAAGCTAAGCTGCCAATGATAACTTGGAAATGGAATAGAGCTTGGCAGCTAGATAGAGAAGCCCCCTTCTGAACATGAAATGACTCTAATCATTTTAAAATCAAGACCTCCATAACATTGGCATACAATTCTGGCTTTCTCTTCATAGCTTCCCCTTCCAGTTCGAAACTGTCAAATCCACTACGACGGGAAGCTCCAAAACTTTCAGCAAGGTGGCCAGCAGACCTGGGAGTCACAAAGTTGCTGCAGGGAGCAAGGAACAACAAAAAGATCATGAGGGATCCAAAGTGTGAAACTGTGCCGGATTAGAACGAGTACACTCTACTCACGTTGTCATGACACCCTTCCCCTTGGCCGTGATCTTGTCTTCTCGCACCGAAAGCCAGTCACCCTTGTTGTGGGCAATCAAAGAATCTGCCGTAGACTGGGACACATGAATTTTCCCCTTGACACCATTGCTCTCCATGCGGGCAGCAGTATTGACGGTACAGTCAGCTCTCGATAATATTTCCTGATTTTGTATTTCCTTCTTGATAGTATTTACCTATTTTGAGGCTGCATTCCTTAAATCTCTATGTCCTTGTATTTCTTTCTTGATAGTATTTCCTAAGCCTTTCCAGCACCCCAGGGAAATATTATCAAGAGCTGACCGTATCTCCAAAGAGCTGAAATCGAGCCTTTTGGCCCCTCAACACTCCTGCGGTGACAGGTCCACTGTGCAAGCCAACTCGAAAGCCCAGGGTTGCCGTGTCTTCTCCAAGGGTGCCAGACAGTTCAGCAGTGACTTCACTCATTCGGTTCATGCAGTCTCGCGCAAATCGACACATGATCACAGCATGATCCTTTTGTGGCTTGGGGCAGCCCGTGGAAATTGTGACAATCGTGAATACGATTCACAACATACAGGTGTGGAAGGGTGGTCTGCGTACGGCGATGGATGGGGCCACATTGACGGTGGATTTTCGAGCGATCAGAATCAGGTCCGGCGAGTGGTCCACCGTGCCAACATGCAAAATGCTTGGACGGCGGGGTTCAAGTATGAAATGTATGCGGGATTTGATCGATTTGGAAAGGTTCAAGTGCCCCAATCAAAACGAACAGCCCGCAGCTTTTTGGCTACCACACTCCAAGTTCAAGGAAGATATGACTGCGTTTGTAGGCATTGGAAAGGCCTCTGGGAACTTGCCTCAAGGTCAAGATCACCACCAAGCGAAGGCAAAAGACCGCCTTGTCTTCCTTCTTTCCATTCACTTCTTTTACTTGTATGTTGGGATCCACCTTGCTCCCATCCACATTATGGCGAGTGCTTTCATCCAGAAACTCTGAAAGATCCTCGGGACTGGGGGATCCTTGGTTGCTGTCCACCAGAATGGTTGTGCCTGGCAAAGAGGGCGGCATGGTGGTAGTCATGGCAAGAAGGGAGCAAACTATCGTAACGCAGGACGCATGAAATTTTGTGAGCACTTTCGATGCATTGGTGCCGTACCGGTACAGTCGTACATCGTAGCTCGACGACTGTCGCTGCACTCGTCACTCGTCGACTCGACTCGAACGACCCCCCCTCCCTCCCCACAACCAGCTCTGCCTGCTCCTGCGGCTCTGGATGCGGAATTTCCATCATGGCTCCCGCATCATGGCTCCGGCATCGCCCACCGTCTCGCCTACTTACAGTACTAGCTAGCTACGGTAGCTAGTCAACTATTACGTTGCTTCCCCCCTGCTGGAATGCGTGACAGCCCCCATTGAGATAGCTAGCTAGCTATTGAGATACGTACGGTGTAAATCAGGCCGAATTCATTCATTTGGCTGGCAAGTAGGCAGAAAATTCCAAGTATAAAGCCCCATGTGAGTCCATGCAACCACGCCTCCTTCCATCCATTTGTTGTTTCCGTGGATGGCATGCTCGCCCCCCAAGCCAAGATTCTTTTACAACACCTTGCTTCGGTCTCTGCCAAGAAGTGAACAAAACTCAGTTTTCCTACAGTACTCTCAAATGATGTTCTTCGTGCAGACCTGTATCTCCATTGCCCTTGTGAAAGCTACCCATTTATGTCTCTGTGGCTGGATCCCGCAAAACCTTTGGCACCCGTAATGGTGCTCACTTTCTCGGCCCAGATCCCACAGAACCAAGTCCTGAAATTCACCTCTTCTTTGCTTCAGCCTGGCCCTTGCTGGCTTCCATAGATAATCCAGCTACTCTATACCCCCCTGGAGTGCCGTACTAGTACTGTACCACATGCTTGCCTGAAAGACAACGAGACAAGGGACAGTCTCTAGACTAGCTAGCTACCGACAGAGCGTAGTGGTTTACAAGGCTCGAAACTGGAACATCATTGAATCGAATCGTTATCTCTGACCCTAATCAATTTTGGTCTTGTCCGCGATCCAGGCACCGAGCTCGCAACCTCTCAAACGAAAGATCCAAAAAGCACCTTGCAAACAACAACAACAAAAGACCATAGCATTGTTAAGAGACCTGGTGTTGTCTGTCTTGCAGAGAGAGAGAGAGCCACAAGGATCGAGAGCTATTCTACTGCACTTTACTGCCTGCCAGAGACCGTGTCATTTCAGTTGTGAGATTGAGTCTGAATAGTAAGAGACAGAGTAGCGAAAGAAAGAGAATTCCAAAGAGTCACAGTCTTCTACTATTACAGTCAGTCAAAATGTCTGGACTTGGAGGACTAGCGGCGAGTCCGTCGAATGGTCACATTTCTCCCATGGAATTGGAGTCGTTGGCCGCGGGTGGTGACTACAATGGTGATAACAACGCTAACAAGAGCAACAAGAACAAGAATGCCAGTTTGGATCGTTTGTCCGGCGTCCCGTCGCAACCACTGCAACAACTCTGGATGATGATTCGTCTTTATTTCGAACTCTATCCTAGACCCATGTACGCCGCCACCGGTGCCTTCTTGACATTCTTGCTATACAAATGGGCGCCCTTTAGTGGCAGCGCCGCCAGTATGCGCAATTACATGACGCACGATTATACGGCATTGGAAGACAATTTCAATCTGCAAACGGCGCAAGTCGATCATTGGTGTCTCTTTGGTGGTGACGACAAGTGTTATTGCGAAGATCCCACCGAAGCTCAGTCGCGCTCGGAAGTTCACGGATGGTCCAATTCGCACAAACGCAACAAATGGATTGTCACGGAAGCGATTGGCAAATATGGCGCTAAAAATATCGATGTCGTCTTTTTTGGAGATCAAACCGTCCAATCGTGGGATGGTCTTTGGCTCGATCGACAGGCGCCGGAAGGAAAACAAATTTCGGCCTATTTCAACAAGACATTCCAGTCCAAGGATTCACTCTTTACGGGAGTTCCACTGGGAATCTATGGGGATCGGGTGAGTACAGCAAAAACAAACAGAAATATAGAATAGAAGATGGAACTGTGTTGGATTTTTGCTTACACATTTGATGGATTCTTTCTATTCTCTACCTCATGCATTTTTTCTACTTATTGTACAGCTCAATAACATTTTGTGGCGCATCAAACACGGCGAAATTCCAAAATCACTCGATCCAAAAGTATTCTGGCTCATTATGGGAACCAACGATCTCGCACTCGGAATGTGCTCCGAAGAAGTCGTCACGCTCGGTATCATGAGGATTGCCGAAGAATTGCATCATCAATATCCCACATCGATTGTCGTCATTCAAGGTATTTTGCCACGCAGCAATCACAAGGATGGATCGCTCGAAGGCAAAACTAGTGGAGGTGGAGGTGGTCATTTTGGACGTGGCAACAAGGATCCTCGGGAGGCTGCTATCAAGCGGGCCAAGAAAAAGGCCAAGCAGGAAGCCATGGCCAAGGCCAATGGCGGTAAACAACCACCCTTGACTGCCATGTCGCCGGCCAATGGTGGAGGAGGACGACAGCTACGATTGACTAGTACTACCAACAATCCCATGGATGTATTCCTCGACAATTATCTCGATCAGTACAATGACACGGAGGTTACCAATCAGTTGATGGAAGACTATTGGGGACCTCATGTGCCGTCCATGGATGAGGAGTATGAGTACGAGCATGAGTACGAGCATGACCAGCAAGCCACTGAAGAACGACGTGATTTGGAAGAAGGAGAGACAAAGTCCGCCAAACCGGAGAGCGTAACCGTCATTGGCAAGCCCAAGGAATCCTACACGTACCAAGACAAGGACAAGGTTATTCCGGAAAGTCAACAACACAAAACTAAATTGCCACACTTTGATTTCTACTTGTGGCCATCCATCAAGGCCATCAACAAGGAATTGGAAGGATTCTGTGCCAAACACGAACACTTGGTCTACTTTGATGCCGATGATCTCGTCTTGGGAAGTATCGGGAATGAACATTACCGAGCGGCCCATAAGACCATCATTACCGCGCTCATGCCCAATTACGTTCATCTCAGTTATCAGGGACATCAAGTCGTGCTCAATGTGTTGAATGATGAATTGAAACGAATCATCTATGACGATGACGAAGAAAATGATATCGAAACGGCAAAAGCCAACAAGGATAAACATCAGCATCAACGACGACGACAACAGGAAGAGGAACAACAGCAACAATAAATCAAAAACAGAAAGACACCAGAACAACAACAAACAAAAAGAGAGACAACAACAAACAAACAAAAGAAAGAGTTAAAAACGACGTACCGGTACGCATATATGCAACCTTTGTAGTAGGGGAGAAATTCCATGGTTGGCTGTTCTAGAACACGATAAGGAACTAGAACCTAGTTTTTTAGATTGTCGTTTCATTGTTACATGTAGGAAATTCGTGTTAACACGTTTTCGTCTGGGTCAGACCGGTGCCTACCGTAGGATATCGTTACTCTAACATCGGCTTTGTTCTCGGGGCGTTTTTCTCAAAGCATGGGGACAACGACGCACAAGACCAAGAAATTGTTAGATAGGCTAGGCGTGTGTTTCGAGGAATGAGAAAATCTGCACCCAATGGCCACCAATGCTGGATAGTTTTGGCTGCAATCACCATAACTTGCGGATGCTCCGTACTAGAGTAGCAAATTGACAAGAACGGAAATTGACGAGCGAGATTTACCGAGGTGTTGGAACGCCAGACGCAAAGCTGCACTTTAATAGACGGGATCTGGGATTGTGGCTGAGTCGAAGTGAGAAGGGACCATACGACAACCGCTTGGACTGCTACCAGTTTGGAACTACTAGTACCGAGGAGTGGCCAAGGGATATCGCCGAGGTGCGTGTTCTCAGACGTGGATACTCGTAAGATATCTTTTTGTCTGTACCAGCACCGCACCGCGTGCCGGTACCATACGGTACATTCCCAGTCCGAAGCACTCTGTCCTCCTCATGATTGACGATGCTGCCTCCATCAAGAGAAGCCTCAAAAAGCAAAACCTAGCAGACCAGTTATATGCCCGGCTAGCTGGAAAGCAAGTTTGAAGCGCACATCGTCTTCCAGGAAGGATGGGGAGACAGGAAATATGAATGAATCCGTCCTAGCTAGCAATCTTCAATCATAGCAACCCCAGCAAAATAGCACCGGTAGGTTGCAAGACAGAATGAATAGCGAAGCCAAGAAAATTCCCTGTACATGCATGCTTCTCTGGTCCGGCCAAGCCCGAACCTTCCACCCATGATCACCAGCAAAAAGAGAGTTTCGTTGGCGTCTCACAAAGAAATGTGGACACACGTTCACTACTAAATACAAACACGCCCGGTCATAAATTGCGCGAGCGATGACCAAAACAATCCGGGTATTGATAATGGAGTTCGTGTTCTCGCTCTCAGAGGGGTCCGTTGGCATAATTACCAAAGAACACCATACGATTGATGATCCGCTCGCGACAACAAGACGCACCAACCCCACGCAAAACACTAGTCTAGCTAGCTAGCTTCTTGCTTGTAACTTCATTCCCAAGGGATAGCTAACCAGCACTCAATCAATCGGCTCATTCATTCAGCCGAGCTTTGTCTTCGGGTGGACTTGATGCTTCTGCCATAAACCAAACAACGACGCAAACAACAACAACAACAACATTATGAAGCTTACTACCCTAGTTCCACTCCTCCTCTCTTGCCTCTTTAGTGGGGTCTCAGCACAAGGGATTCAGATTTCCGCATGTACTGCCGACCAGGCCACAGAGCAGACCAAGTTGAACAACGCCAGAAGTGCCTGGCAGAGAAGTGCTGTCAACTACTATGACTACAATTGGTCTGAGGAATACAGCGGTGTTAACTCAGCGGTCTATCCATACCGTGTGGTTGTGGAAGTTAGCACTGTCCAGTCCATCAATTCCCAAGGACAACTTGTGACAACAGCCATGACTATTCCCCAGATCCTAGATCAGATCCAGAGTTACCTTTCCGATTCCACCTTGAGGGTGTATGCCACCTACGATGCCAACTATGGATACCCCACTATGTACCAATACATGAACTCTGCTTGTGGAAATGTTAGTACTCGCCGCATCAGCGACTTTGATATCAACTCAGGAAACAGGCTTTCGGCATACAATACCAACAAGGCTCTCTGGCAGAGAAAACGCTGGAACAACTATGACTACAGCTACCAAGATTATGTGCAGTACAAAGATGCAGCATGGCCATTGGTTGTCCAGGTTCGCAACACTCTATATGCCAGTGCTCAGGACCACAACAACAACCAAGTCCTTTGGGCTAGTTACAATGGACAAACCATTAACGATTTCTTTGCGTTGATCAAGCGACAGATTGATGCCAATGTACCTTATTTGGAGGTCAATTATGCAGCCACAGATGGATACCCTACGGCCATTTTCTATGTCACTGCTGGCAGTACCACAATCTATGCTGTTGAGATCTTTACTTGCTATGCTGTTTAAGCAAGGATGGAGCAATCGGATTATTTGTTACATGGTGGTAGTTATGATGGGCTATGAATGTGATTTTAGAGAAAGGGTCCGCAGCGCGGCTGAGGCAGGTCGTCTGAGGCAGCTGGCTAGCTAATGATTAATCGACTAGACACACTCAAAAGTATACCGTTACTGTTTAGATAGCTGCGCTTGCCTGCTTGACCAACTTGCATTCGTGAGCTCCTCCGCCATAATCGTTTCCAATGAATTTCTCAGTATAGGCCCCTCTGGCTACTCAGCTACCAAGCTAGCTCACAGGACCTACAATCATCGATGAGTCTCTCCTATGGCCGCTGACCCTTGTGCGGCAACAACTTTCTCCCATTTGGCCACCAAATCGACAGCTTTGCCGCTTTCTTTTCATACCAACAGCTCGGGGACACCGGTCATCTTGCCTTCCTGGATTTTTACCCAGATTGCTCAAGATGACGTCCGTTTCTCATTCACCTCCTTGAAATCTTTGGCTTCTCAGCCTGATCTTTCGAAGTGGTGCTTCCAATCCGTTGGTTCCCTTGAGCCTGAAACCAGAACAACACCATGAACGTGGCTACCCTAGTTCCTCTCCTCCTCTTGTTTCTCATTAGTGTTGTGTCGGCCCAGACGGCATGTACTGTTGACCAGGCCACAGAGCAGACCAAGTTGAACAACGCCAGAAGTGCATGGCAGAGAAGTGCCATCAACTACTATGACTACATGTGGTATGAGGAATACAGCGGTGTTAACTCAGCGGTCTATCCATACCGTGTGGTTGTGGAAATTAGTGCTGTCCAGGCTGTGAATAAACAAGGACAAATTGTGACAACAGCCATGACTGTCCCCCAGATCTTAGATCAGATCCAGAGTTACCTATCCGATTCCACCTTGAGGGTGTATGCCACATATGATGCCAACTATGGATACCCCACCATGTACCAATACATGAACTCTGCTTGCGGCAATGCTAGCACTCGCCGCATCAACAACTTTGACATCAACTCAGGAAACAGGCTTTCGGCATACAATACCAACAAGGCTCTCTGGCAGAGAAAACGCTGGTACAACTATGACTACAGCTATAAAGACTATGTGAACTACCAGGATGCAGCTTGGCCATTGGTCGTCCAGATTCGCAACACTCAATATGCCAGTGCCCAGGACCACAACAACAACCAAGTCCTTTGGTCTGGCTATGCTGCCATGACCATTGACCAGTACTTTGACATGATCAAGCGACAGATTGATGCTAATGTACCCTATCTGGAAGTCAATTATGCACCTACTGATGGATATCCCACAGAGATTTTCTTTATTCAAAGTGGAAGTTCCACAATCTGGTATTATGAGATTTACACCTGCTATGCTGTCTAAGGAAGAAGCAATGGAGCTTCAGAACATGGTTTATGTGTTGCATGAAGGTAGTTATGATGGGTGGTGCCTGATGATGCATGCTTGAACGTGACTGTAGAGAAAGGGTCCGCAGCGCCGCTGAGGCAGCGTGCCCGCTGTGCCTAGTGGGTAATCGACTAGCTAAGACACTTAAAGCAGCCGAACTTGCCAACTGCTATTGGTGAGCTCCTTCGTCGTCACCGAGGCATCGTCTTTATGATTCATGTCTCATTCAATGCCCCTCTGGCTAGCTAGTGCTTCACTGAGCCATCAAGATGCATGAAATAGTCAAGAATCGCTGCGTAAAATCAGACTTCACCGTAGCCACCTGGCTAGCTCGAACATGCAGGAGGTGGTTTTCTGGTTTTCCCAGGGCCGATCCACTCATATCACATGGTGCTGCCGTCGAAGATGATCTCTCCAGTACCATTGACAACTAACAACTTCGGGCGAAAGAGTACACTCGCTCGCTACCGATAGCTAGTCTCTTCTTAGCTGATCCTGTCCCACATGGGTGCCTTCTGCCTCTCAGATTGGGTCCTCTTAGTTAGGCTCCGTTCAAATAGATTGTAGCAAGCGTATAGGATCATGTTTGACAGCTTCGCCACTTTCTTTTTAAAAATTAAATGGCGGAGACACCGGTCATCTTGCTCATTCAAGATGACCTTTGCTCATTCATCTCTCATCCATCATTCACATCTCTCTCTCAAATCTTCCGACAGCCGTGGGAGATTGATTCATTGGTTTCCTTGAAACCAGACCAACACGATGAACGTGGCGACCCTAGTTCCTCTCCTCCTTTTGTGCCTCTTGGGCCTCATCAGTGGGGTGTCGGCCCAGAGTGCATGGACGGCCGACCAGGCCACAGAGCAGACCAAGTTGAACAACGCCAGGACCGCCTGGCAGAGAAGTGCCATCAACTACTATGATTACTTGTGGTCTGAGGAATACAGTGGTGTTAACCCAGCGGTCTATCCATACCGTGTTGTGGTGGAAGTTAGCACTGTCCAGGCTGTGAATAAACAAGGACAACTTGTCACTACAGCCAGGACCGTGCCCCAGATCTTAGATCAGATCCAGAGTTACCTTTCGGATGCCAGCTTGAGGGTGTATTGCACCTATGATGCCAACTATGGATACCCCACCATGTACCAGTTCTCCAATACTGCAGGTGGAAATGTTAGCACTCGCCGCATCAGCGCTTTTGGCATCAACTCAGGAAACAGGCTTTCGGCATACAACACCAACAAGGCTCTCTGGCAGGCTAAACGATGGTACAACTATGACTACAGCTACAAGGACTGGAGTCCATCCTACGCAAGTGCGGCCTGGCCGTTGGCTGTCCAGATTCGCAACACTCAATATGCGAGTTCCCAGGACCACAACAACAACCAGGTCAATTGGCTAACTTCCAATACCGTTGACCAGTACTTTGACATGATCAAGCGCCAGATCGATGCTAATGTACCCTATTTGGAAGTCAATTATGCACCTACTGACGGATATCCCACAGAGATTTTCTTTATTCAGAGTGGAAGTTCCACAATCTGGCACTATAATATTTACACCTGCTATCCTGCGTAAGAAAGTAACCTGCTACAGTTGCTATGCTACGGTTGTTCAGAAGAAGAAGAGTATATGTTGTGTGATGATGAGAGGAGGATTATTTGTAACATGGTGATGATTTACTCTGTGAGCTTGCGGGTACTGGAATAAGTCCAAAGTTTCGGATCAGGCTGGCCAATTCGGAGGACGATCTTTTATTAATCAACTATAAGGAGCATTCGTAAACGTTGGAAGCTTTTAGGTACCACGAATAGCTAGCGTCCTCTCTCTCAGGGACATGCGAGCTGGGAGGGATTCTTACCGGGTAGGAAAGCTCATCTTTACCGGCAAAGGATTGGATGGATGCGTGAAAGGTCGAGGTACACCCCTGAAGACCAGAAAGCACAATGCTCAGCGGAGCTTCACTAGTGAACTTGCACAAACTGATAAAACCAAAAGAGGATACCGTGCTGCACGCTCCGTTGCTTCCAGCAGTTGAAGAGGACGCCTGTCTTGGGTATCAAGCTACGGTTCTGGTATTGACTGGTATGTACCGCTGGCTCTGGGTGTTTGGTAGTGCGCGGATGTGCGTCCTGATTGTCTTCGACCCAGTCGTGCTTTTCTGCCCCAGCGTTGTTACACTGTTGCGAAGCTCTTGCAATACAGCTCGTGAGAGTCCGGCCCCAAAGCCATCCCACAGGAGCCAAGGATGATGCAAACAATCGAATAGGCAAAACAAACAAAAGATACGATGTCGGTGGAAACTTGGCAGTGGCGTCGAGTGGGGGCATGCGGAAACAAGCCACCTCGATCCATCAGCCGTGAAACTGCTTCCAAGGCGTCATCATCATGTTCGTCTTATCGCTGGCTTTCCCAGTTGGAGTTCATCTTTCCCCTTCCCACCATGTTTCCCTATCACGAACCGTCGGGAGCCAGCGTCGTCATGGCAGGGTACCTTTCGAGCCCCACTGGGACTGGTTGTCCCAGCAGCAGTGATGATGCCAGTGCACGTGGCAGTCCCGAAGCAAACAGCACCCGAGATGGCGAGGAAGCGTCATATGTATTAGACAACAGCAGAAGCCAAATGGCGTCGTCTCTCGAGAGGCGCTTGAACGACTTGGAGTTTCTCGAGTTATTGCAGACGCTCCATGAAGATTACTTACAATGCCGGCGTCCGCTAAGACAGGACGCTGTTGTTTCCTCGGGTGCCAAAAAGGAAGAATCGGATGACATGAAGTGGTACCTGCAGTCCAGATTTCTAGTTGACTTTGGAGACTGCCATAATCTCGATCAGCAACGGGCTCTGGCACAAATCTACGAAAGGTTGTCTGCATTGGCCCTGTTCTCCGCGGACCAAAGTGGTACCGTTCCCGTTGACGACAAGTCTCAGCAAGAATTGGAAGTGATGCTCTGTCTCCACAAGATTGCCGCCATCACGTCGAAAGAACAAGATGACAATATTTTCATGCTGGAAGTCGTTCAGGCACATCAGCGATTGGGGAGCTTTCTCCAGAGACACCTAGCCAAGCACCAAGAAGCTCTTCGCCACTATCAGGTGGCCCTGACATTGCTGGACCAATGCGTGGTCGATGAGGATGTCGAGGAACATGTTGCCGCATGCTTGTACGGAATTGCCTCGGGGCTACTCCAGGCTTGTTCTGGCGAATCTCCTTGGTTTGATGGACAACAACAGCAAGCTTGTATTGAACAAGCCATTGAACTGCTCACAGAGGCCCTGCAAGTTTGGCAAGGCATGATGGACCGATTGGGTCCCACCGAGAGCGCTTACACTGCCATGGCTGAGATCTTGGTAGCTCTGGGTGACGGCTACAACCAACAGCAGCAAGCGCCCCCTCTAAAGGTTCTGGAATGCTATCGTGGTGCTCTGTCTGCGATTGAAAAGGCCAAGCTGGACGGTACACATTCAGTCAGGATTGATGCCTTGATGGCGTTGGGTGACTTCTACAGTAAGGCTGTGACTAGTGGGAAACGGGTGCGGATGGGTGGTGGCAGGGATCCGCTGGACCGAGGTTTGAAGTTGTATTTTGAAGAGACTGACCGAGCTTTGACGTTGTATTATGAAGGTAAGCTTAGTTCATGTTTGACTGTTGACAGCATGCGTTCGGCCGCTTAGATTGCTCACCCCACAGTGCGCGATTGCATGTTCCTCATTCCAACAGTGTTCTCAGTGGCAAGCTTGGGTACAGCGCACCATGAACAAGCCAGGCTCAAAGCAGCCATTGTCCACTTTGATCGTGGTGAGATTGGATCGGCTTTAGAAAACTTGACGGCCTTTCAACTAATGCGTCATGAAGGTGGTAACCAGGAGGACTTGGCCTACTTTATTGGCTTGTTGTCCAGCGCTGCATGCCACTACGCAAACATCAATTCACTCCGTGCCAAGAGACTGTACGAGGAAGCTTTTGGGCTCATTTCATCCAAAGAGAATCATTTGCTGGTCGAGAATCCAATGCTGGAAACATACATGTTTAACTATGTTGTGGCGGATGATGATGGCGAGTTGCCGTTCCAAGAATACGACAAACAGCCGAAAACGGATATGGCATTGCTCTAATGCAAGTAGGAAGCCGGGTCCCGGCGATGATACCCGAGAAGACAGACATGGATACACACAACACATACATGGGTAGAAAAAATGCAGTCTTGATCGATAGGATTTGGACCGTCCTTTGTCGCCGAGTGGCTGGACATTGGAGCATAACCCTACATGGAACAACAAAACCAGCATCTTGGACTGTAGTGACCTCGAAAATGCGCTTGTGTGTAGTCCCCACACGAACTGCACTGGACATATCCTCGTCGCCTCAGTGCTGCGTCTCGTTTCAGCCTTTCTTGCAGCAACCTCTCCTTTCGTTCTTGCTCTAGGCGCTTTGCCTGCTCCAGCTCTTCTCGATGTTTCTGCTCCTTTTCAATCACCTTTTTGAGAGTTTCCAAACCAAAGTACTCGGAAAGATGATACAGTTCCGATGCATTCGCTTCGTCGAGGGATTTCTGTATGAAACCGTCGCCCCTAGAAAACCACAACAAGATCAAGTCAAAGGCAACAACAAGGCTCTCATCAACTTGTAGTATGGTAGTCCCAGACAATCCTTCATTGGTTCCAAGGATCTGTTTGGCCAAGATTGAATCAGCACCACTTCTCTCCATCCAATCCTCGGGCAGGAATTTTTCGTTTCCGTTGAGCACGATACGAAGAATCATGGCACCTTCTTCATGCCGTTGAACAGCGAAGTCTTCGACCGACTTTGCATGCATCGTTTTCTCCGCCATTGTCGATGAAAAGTAGCGATACTCAGAGAACAGAATGCATGTGTCCTGTTGAGACCTTTGCTGCTGAGGTTCACAAATAAAAACTGCGAGCTTCTCCTAAAAGTACATGTAATGCACTTTAAAATTTTCACTTTCCACGCTGCAAGACCACGTTCAAGGATCTTTGCGACAACAAACCATGACCATCCAGAACATCAATTGATACTGTAGTCATCACCACGACCGTTTTCACCTTCCACGGTATAAGACCACGTTCGAGGATGCTTGGAGTCGAGTCGAGTCGAGTCGAGTCCGAAGCTGCCCACACTGATGCACACCAGAACCAACAAACACTTCCCAGGCACCGGTAGTACTGGTATTGGTACGTGTGTAGGCGTCTCATTCTTCTGGCTCAATTGGATTTCTTGAAGCTGCAATTGAAGTGGAGATTGTGCTGGCTACATGTACCGGTAGCCAATATTGGCAGTGTTATCGGGACCCTTCACGACATACGGTACGTAGTAGATGTTCGAATGTAGCACTCACGGAGTGGCAAAGACTTCACAGAAGCCAACTTCGCGTAATGTGGTGCCGGTAAATCGAAGGATTGGCTCGTACCTCGTACCGGTACATGCTGTTCATCTGTGACTGGGATGACCTGCACTGGTACCGGTACAATGTTCTGGTGTGCCGAGATACCGGGGCTGAATGATCGAGCTACAAGTAGTTGTTCGCGTACGGAATGGCAATTAGCTCTGCAACATAATTTTATGTCAACACGATGGCTCCGGACCATTCAGGCTTCTGTAGGCTTTGGCTCAAGCCAATTGAGGCAGGGATGTCTTCCCTACTATCATAGAACAGGACATCAGCAGCTGAAGGTTCGAGGAGGAGGGACCGATTACAGCCAGAGGAATTAGTGGAGGGGTTCACAACTACCCACTGTACCTACTAGCTAGCAGACCCCATGAACAAATACGAATATGTTACTATGGGTAGGGTGCCCGGCCGGGGGTGGAGTGCATCAGCAGACCCCAAAGAACTCATCTCGAGTGCCCTGCGGAAAAGGCGCTGGCCATAGGGGGGAAATCACATTCCACGGTGGAAGACCACGTTCAAGGTTCAAGGATCTTCGCGAGAGTCACAAGTCATCAAAGCCATTCCATGACCGGTGAAAAGGATCTTTGTATGTGAGAGTCATCCAGGACATCTCCAGTACTTTTTGCTAGAGTATCGTATGACAGCACCACGACCTGTGACACTTTCGGCGACATGTTGAGGAAGTCTCATTTTTTCCGCCTAAATTAAGATTTCTTGCCGTCGGCGGTCCCTTATCACACAATATACTTTAGTAGACAGGCATCGCGAACCTTTCCTATTGTTGTGCGTGGAAGCAGGGGTCTCATTGAATAAAAAGTACAAGTCAAGATGATGTGGATCAAGATGTTCCGTTTCGCGTCGATAGTATCTCTCTTGATGGGGAGAGCTGTCGTGGCTCAGACGAACATGGCCAAAACAGCCAACAAAGATGCGGAGCAAGATAAATTGAACACGGCCCGTGGACGATGGAACGCTCGCTTGGACAATCTATATTACGACTACGTCTGGAATCAGGAGTGCAATATCTGTTCTTCCATAGGAGATTATCCCTGGAGAGTCCAAGTGGATCTGTCGACCCCCATGGGTGTCAACAGCAAGGATACGGTTCCCACCGACATTCGCACTGTCGAATACATGTTTGACGACATTCAAAATGCCATTTTCGATTCGACGTGGTACACTTATGGCGAATACGATGGTACCTACGGATACCCGTACATGTACCAAATCCAGCAAGGCGAGGCGGAGAGCAATCTCTACACGAACCGTGTCACCAGTTTCCAAACGGAGCCTTACGATCGCAGTGGCATGTACCAGACCAATCGCAATTTGTGGAATGCCCAGCGCAATGGAGGCAATCTCTATTACGAATTTACCTACACGGATTACGAGGATCTACAGCGAGGCATTGCCTGGCCTCTCAAAGTGACAGTCAGCAATGGATACGTCGTTTCCACACTCGACAACGCCCAATTTCCCGTCACGATTTTAACACCCAACACGATCGATCAGCTCTTTGATCAAATCGGACGAAATTTGGATATGCAGGCACCGCTGGTTCTCAATACGTATGATCCCAGTGTGGGATACCCATCGTACATGGATATGGTCTCCACAGCCGGAGTCGGAATGCCGGGTGTGGCCACCAAGATGGAAATTCACTCTTATACTCCTTTGTAATAAAATTAAAAAGGGAGGGTTTATATCCTCCTGTTTGATTTCACGAATGGAAGGCAATTTGCTACAACAATTAACCTCAGACAAAACGTTAAAATGTTTTTTCTTAGAACACATTGGTGCAATACTTACCCTGTTCTTGGGCAAAGGTCCTTGTGCTGGAGTTAGGCCTGCCACGGCACGAGCTACATGTATATGTGACTCGCATAGTTCTTAATGCATAATACTATTTTGATCTGGAGCCAGGATATAAGCTTCACCCTCCTCGGGCACCGTTCACCTGCCAAATAAAGATTCTAGCTAGGAACTTGAATTGGATCCTGAGCCAGTGCTGCTGCTGGTCGCTCTAAATCTGTACTTCAATTTCGGACCAGGTTTGTATTCTTCGCTCATAGATGACCACCCTGATACTGGCGGAATCTCTTCGTTCTGTCGTACGATGCTATAGAAATCCTTGTCCTCTCCAACCGTGCCCGGTTTTGCCTTATCAGGGATGGCAATGACCCAATGACTATCGTCGGAAAAGAGCCAGAAAACGCAGGGATTCCCATCATACAACACCTGCTTGCAGTACTTCCACTGTCCTTTGAACGAACCATTTCTAACAAACACCCCATTGACAGCTTCACAACCAGCTCCTTCCACGTTGATCTCAGTTGGAGCTCCACCATTTGGCGGTCGCTCCGTCACCCATGGTTTGTGACGAAAACAATTCAAGCTTGCAGTACGGAACATCTTGCTCATTTCTAGGGCTTGTTGTTTGTACGTCTCCAACAGCTGCTCTGACGTGACCAAGCCTGAAGCAGTGACTGCTGTAGATAGAGTTTCAGGGTCAATCTCTGCCAAGCATACGTGCTTTGATAGTTCTGCCGCGGCCAGCTTCCGTTCATCCCCAGAGTCTTGCGACCATAGGTTCAGGATTTGAAACAGCTGGTATTCCGTCACTTCCATCTTTTTGTCACTGAGAATCTCTTCCAACACTTCAGAACTCAAGCAATGGACGTGTTCTTTGGTGATGGATTCGGCAGGAGAGGAGCGCACTATTTCCATGGCTTTCTCTACCAGTGATTCCGGAATGGAAGGCCCTGCTGTTTTGCAGGCCTGAAGGACAGCAAACGATGAGCAGGGGGATTCCGTCCAAACTACATCAAATTTTTTCACAGCAAGTTTTGCCAGGTCGAAAAGCTCAAAATAGGATGCCGCTTCCGCCAAGGAAACAAGGGATTGAACAAATGGAAAGTCAAACGAATTCCCTTCCCGGCTCTTTCGCTTCTTGCAGTCAAGCATCTGGGCTGAATCAGTGAGAATGTATTCCACAATGGCTCTCAAAATACCTCCTTGAAACCCAATGTCCACAACGGGAGAGGATGCCTCCTGGAACTTGCCAAGAAGCATTCCTCTAAAAACCTGACTTCTGGCTGACAGCAGAAAGCGATTTGCCATCACCACCACTCCATCCGTGCCTTTTAGTTTCACATCATTCAGAGCTTCGTCATTCAAGAAACCGGAGAGCATCTGATCACGTGAGATCTCCGTGTCATTATTGCTGTTCATGATTGTGTCTGCCATGGTGCCGTATCTTCAGGCTCCTGATCTGTTTGCGCCGCTTTTTTGAGCTTTTTTGTTTTTGTGTCAATCTGCATGCCGCTGGTTGCAGGTCACCCGGTTTCCGCATACGCTACCGTCGTACCCCCCCTTCCTCCTCCCCCTATTTTATTAATTCATATGCCCCCTCGGTCGTCTCCGTTTCCATAAATCTTTTATTACCAACACCTGAAACAGTATTCGCGCGCTCCGCGCGCTCATCCCTTTCTTTTTGCTTCGCCCCGAAACCGAAACCGAAACCGCTTCCTCGCTCGAGCTCATTCAGATCCCTCATTCATGCGAAAAATGTGAAGAACGCAAGGCGACTTTCATGTGCATGTACATGCGTTGACTGTATCCCGTCAATACAATACTAGTCAAATACGTAGACTTCTACAGAGGCCTCTAAGTAATGCACGCGGGGTATAATTCAAACCTCCACTCCCCATCGGTACCCTTACCCCTAAAAGCAAATCGTCTCCGGGAGACGAAATAGTCTGTCAATGCAGTTACCGATCTACTAGCTAGCAACCGACACTTTGCACAATGATCTTTCCTTACTCTGTTTGTTTCGAACATGGTACTACTGTTATTATGGACTTACACACATCCAAATTGGACTGCACCTCCTACCGAACTAAAATCCGCTCACAATTTTTGCATGTCCAGCAAGGCAAAATTCAAAGCATGGACGCCTGTGCGAATCCCATCAAATGTATGTCTTTCCATCGAGTCCCTTTGTTGTTTCTGTGGATGGCATGCTTGCTCCCCAAGCCAACCTTCTTTGCAATGCCTCACTACTGTCAATAATGCCAACCAAACTCAATAGTCCTACTCCCAAATGATGTTCCACATGTACATCAGGACAGACCTTTCAATTGCCCTTGTGAAAGCCACTCTTTTGTGTCTCTATGGATCCCGCAAAGTCAAGCTAGCTATTTGGCCCTAGTGTTGGTCCTCAATTTGTCACCCCTGATTCCATGGAACCTATATAGTTATTCCACATCTCTAGCCTGCAGCTGGCTTCCAACTTCCCTACCAGTACCATGTAGACCCCCTTTGACCTTTGGCATTTGAGCACAGAAAATCACTATATGGTTTTGAGTTGTGGACTGGTCAAGCAAGGTTGGAAGAGAGGGGGAGGGGAGAGCGAGATGGGCGAAAGGAGGAAAATTAGGGGAGGAAATAGGGAGGCTAGAAAAGTTGGGAAGGGGCATGATGGGAGGATAAGATTATCGGAAGACGGCAAGTGCACCATTGAAATCCCAGAGGGAACGGTGTTGGCTTATTGTGTCAGCAGGGACATGGCTCGGGACATGGCCGAGGTGGCAGGCCGAACAATAGCTAGGCTGAGCGTAGCATTAACATAGATAGCCACACACCACTGAGTAAGTTTGGCACCACTTGGCAGCTAGAAGAGAGGACAGGCATTTGGCGAGTGCCTGAGCTTTGGTGCCAAGGAGGCCGTCAGCAGAGAAAACAAAAAGGGTAAAGTGGCGGCATTGGGAGAGACATATACTAGTACGGGGGGTTTAGAGTAGGGAAATTATCTACGGATGCCAGCCGGGGCCAGGCTAAAAAGCAAACAACAGTTGAAATTCAGGACTAGCTAGCTACATGTATGTAGCTTCTGTGACATCGAGATCTTTCATGAAGGGTCCTAAATGTATCTGAGCACACGTCACGCACTGACCCCTATGGGAATAATTTAGGGCTACACCTTGTTTAAAACTATGAATACCGGTGCGGGTACCGGTGAGACAATCATACCATTTTCATCAAACCACACCCATGCACCTCTCGCCAAGATCCAAGAGAAACCCAGCGACGATCTGTTCGACGATCTATTGTGGCCTCCAATCCTTCGATCGATGCAAGCATTGTTGAACCATGAGCGACCATGCCCAAGTAGTAGACGACGATGATCCACTACCATTGTCCGCCCTGAAGCATCGACTGTCCGAGAAAACGTACCAATGGCTGGAGGCGGCTGAGTTTCCCACAGAAGACGACGAAGGACTCCATTTTGTGGGTTTCTCGTTGTCGTCTGCCAATGATGATGAAGACGAAGAACAGTGGACCCGCGTCCAAGATTGGTGCAGCAGTGCGTCCACTCCCGATGGCGTTGGTGGTTATTATAATCAAGAAGAGCTGGGTGCTCCAAAAGATGGAGGCATCAAGGTGCAGTACATTTTGTCGTCGGCCAGTGGCGGCCACGGGGACGATCTGTGGGCGGCCTCACGGCATGTCGCCAACTTGCTCGCCGACAAGGACCAGTGTCGCAAGCTGTTGGGCGCCTCACAAACAGAGGGACATCCACTGGCAGGACGCTCCTTTTTGGAATTGGGAGCGGGTGGTGGAGTCCCCAGTTGGACGGCTCAGTGGTGTGGCGCCAGAGTGGTAGTCTGCACCGATCAAAGCATTCCCGATCGGATACGGTGTCTGGCCGAATGTGCCGAACGTAATGGACGTCGCATCCAACAGCAACAGCTTCCAAAACAAAAGGAAACGGCCCGGGTGGCTCCGTATGACTGGGGGAGTTCCATTGATGAAGTTGTTTCCTTTCTTACTCCAGAGGAAAATTCCAAAACAATGGACAACAATCGATCATTATTTGATGTGATTGTGGCCGCTGATTGTATCTACATGCCAGAGCTCCACACCAAATTGATCGATTCCCTACGGCGGCTGTTGCATCCACAACGAGGCGTCGCGTTGTTGCCGTTTGCCCTTCATGGCAACACGGACGACACGCGAGTGTGGACTATCATCGAGACGGCCCAAGAATTTGGATTCAAAGTGGAGAATCTAGGATCCGTACAACTCACGCCCCAAGCCGACGGAATGGATGCCAAGAGAGCACTGGTACACATGCTGCGTCTGACGGTACAGCAACAGCAGCGGTCGTGATGACACGCACCAAAGTGGCAGGCGATGGAACGATTTAAAATCCGTTGTCAAAAGTGGCAGGACTGGAATGGAACCAAGTCGAATGATTCGTGGTAACGCTCAGTTCGACATTACGTGCATACTTCCGATTACCTACTTTGTTAAATGGTTCAAGGCGACGATGTGGACATCATCTTCCTCAAAGGTCAATTAATAGATTGAGTTTGTTTCATGGTCCCGAAGAACCCGCATTCCTAATTGTACAAGCCAGTGCCTTGACTGGCAATGAAGTAAGGGAATCCTGGCGAATTGCTACTCCTCTCATGACTAGTTGCAAGGACAATCACACCCGCACAATTGGGCCGAGCAGTCAAACTTTGCAACAGGAACAACACCCTCCAGCTTGTGCGCGCACAGTGCCTCGGGTATTGTTCCATTGATGCCGGTCCCTGTGACCTTGAAATCAGTCAGGTTTGCAAGCTGTCCCAATGTGCTTGGCACTGGTCCCAAGATACCTTCATTTCCATAAACAATTATCCGCTGTAGTTTCGTCAAGTGCCCCCATTCGGCTGCAATAGTCCCTGTAAAACCCTGGTTATCAAGATGAATAGCACCCAAGCTTGAGCAGTTGGCAAATGAAGGCAATGGGCCTTCCATCTTGTTCCATCCCAGCATGACAACTTGCAGGTTGGGCCAACTTTGGCAGATCACATCTGGAGAAAAGAATGTCCCAGTCAGGTCATTGCGGTCAGCCAAAAGGTTCACCAGGTTGGACATTTGAAGCAGTTCTGTTGGGAGTGTTCCGTGGAGCTGATTGTTCAGAACACTCAACCCTATGACGTTTGTCAGCAAGCCAAGATCACTGGGCAATGTTCCAGTGAGTTGATTGTCTGTTAGGCTAATGGTTTGGAGCTGTCGCAGCCTGCCAATGGTGGTTGGAATGGGTCCCTGAATGTGTTGGTTTCGATAAAGATTGATACTTTGTAAACCAGTCAAAAGACCAACCTCTTCAGGTACCCTCCCTGCAAGACCATTTTGCCGCAGGTCCAGGTATTGAAACATATTTTCGTCATTGCAAGCTGTTTGGAATCGAAAGGGGGTGTAGGTAAACCAGAAGCATTCAGATGTGTCGTAAGAAAGCCATTTTTCTGATGGGACAGTCAATGTGATGGAGTCTGTGCTTTGCAGCTCTCTTTGTAGATGCCGTGTAGAGTTTCTTCCCTTGTTTGATTCAACTGGAGGTATCATTTCACTGGATGATGCTGATGGCTCAACAACAGTTGGAGGAGGACTTCCCCCAGCACCACTGGAAGGCGGCCCACCAACAGCACCATTTGGAGGAGGACCGCCACCAGAACCACCAGGAGGTGGGCCACCAGCAGCATTGGGAGGAAGACTGCCAGCAGTAGGGGCGCCATCACCATTATTATTGGGAGGGCCGCCACTGTCATTTTGTGGTGGAGGTGGTTTAGCTGGAGGACCCCCCGCCAGCATGGCTCGCAATCGAGGTGTATCAAATTCCCGATGTTCAACTTCTTGCATACCTCCAACTCCATTATTGATCCAATTTTCACCGTTGGTAGCATAATAGAGAGTGACCAATGCAAATCGCTGTACAAGGCGAGCAGCCGTATAGTTTTGCTTCCAAGGATCTGCTTGGAGCCATTGATATGCTCGGTACTGGTGACTTGAGGCTGAAGAAGCATTGACACCTACAGCCAGTTCTCGTTCAATGGCATGGCGTGTGACATTGGACAAATATGGCCTGATGAGTGGATATACGTCATAGTCATCACTGTCAACTATACCGATAGGCACAGTGCCATTAATGGAATATGCATGTGTATCATTGGCAGCAATGGCGACCACCGCAACGACAACGACCACAAGTATTGTGGTCAATAGAGCCAGCAGTGCGAGCTGAATCTTGGTTTTGTTTTCGTGCTCATTCTTCTTCATCCTTTGTTTTTGTGGTTCCAGGTCATCAATATGTGTGGCTTCTTGTGTCACGACAAATTCAGTAGAAGATTCTTCCACGGCAGTAGCTTCTACCAGGTTTCCACTGGCGTGAATCCCAAAACCATTGATTTCATCCGAAGCAAAGGGATTTGGGTTTCTTTCACCATCATCTGATTCTTGAGAAAGTCCACTGAAGAAAGCCGAAAAATCACCTCCAGGTCCTTGATATTCCGGACCTCGATGCCGGATTGCGCCTGGTTTGGCTTCTGCTTGGGTGTTTGTGTTGCCGGTGCCGTCATGATTCGTAAACTGGATGAATTCATCAACGTCGATTTCGTTGTTGTGCATTCTCATCCTACTGGGGAGCACCACATCATGAACATCAACAGAATCGACATTCCTGACACCGTTTTGAGTCGCAGGCTTGTGCCGTTCGCTCGATGGAATGTTCACTGCTCGCTTAGTATTGTGTGCTGCTGGGGGCAGCGTCACCTGGGTATGACCTGCTTCAGGAGGCGCTAATTTGGCTACTCGTTCTGGAATTAAGCAAACTGGCATACTCGGGCTGCACCTTGCTTGTAGTGACTCCGGGTTCTTCTCTACCGATCCTGACTTGACTTCGCGGTGTTTGTTTCCGTCTTTTTCACTACCGGTACTGTGATCCTTTCGACTGTGATCACTTTCGCCGTTCCTTCCCAAGTCGGTACCAGTAGCTTCGCCGACCTCAACATGGTTTTGGCAACCACTTTCTTGCTTCACTAAGTATTCAGCGGTTGCTACACTGGCTCGTTTTGCCACCACTTCCATGATTGCTTCTTCCACTTGCTTGGCATTTTCCATTCTTTTTGCTCCTTTTTGCGTTCCTGTGCTTTTTGGCCTTGATTGTCACACGGTACACAAGGGAAAGTGGAAGAGGCATGGAGGTCGGTCAGGATAGCTACCATTGCCAGGGCGCTTGAGCTTTGTGTTGACCTTCTTCGCATGCAAGCTGCAGCACTTGGCTTTCTGGTTTCTGGGCCAAAAAGTAGTTCTAGTACTGTGGGGTGTGGGTTAATTAAAAAGCGATCTTGGTGTCTTCGTGTATTAATATTCACACAAGGCGAGATAAAGTTGTTAAGGCCTTGAGTAACGGTTACGGCTGAAGATAGGGTCTCATGTCCCGAAGCCTTATTGCAAGGAGTTTTCATACTCGTTTCGCTCGTATACTTAAAATGACATAATACATACAAGGAAAGCAGATCAGAGGCTCGGTAAGCCATTTGCGCTCACATTTTTAAGCGATTTACACCGTCGAGTCATTGAAATCTTAACGAGTTACTGTATTTTTAAAAATAGGAGTGGCAACTTGAGGCGTCACGGAGAGCTCATCAAAGAGGATCCAAGGCATAGGCGACACTACTGAAACCGAAATCCTTCATTTAGTTAGCGGGTGGAAAGTTGGAAAAAAAGAATGACCGTCACCATTTCTTATGGCAATCAGCTGGAAAACGCTGTACAGTCGTACTTTGGAGTAACAGTCTATGACCACAAAGAACATTGGATTCAGGAAAGCGGTTAAGCACGTTCAAGTATTTGGGAATGCAGTTTGTGGTGGAGTTAGCCGTGCCAACGGACACACGGCATGACAACCAAGCCTTGAAACTCTACATGAACGGAGTGGATGTGGATTAGACAGTCAGGGGGTGGCGGAAGTCCCTGCTGAGCTCGGTATGCAACGCTACATTGCGACATTTCTCATCGAGAACATCCTCGAGACTGATGGAGACCAATTGCTTCTTAGAGAGGAAGACCTGAAGCAGCTGGGAGTGACAAGGATTGGAGACCGGAATCGTCTCCTTGGATGGATTAGATCCAACGCGGCCTCTGTATCTGGCAGAGTTGATGTAAACGGAGGTGGACATGGTCTGGCGGACGCGGTCGCACAAGGCGCGTCCAAGGGCCATCCGAAGGCATTGGGAAGTTTGTTTTAACCAGCGTCCTTGGTGCGCTCTAGACCATCGAGACTTTTTGCTGTTCCGATCTTGGACGGTTACATACTATAGTAGGTAACGTGTAAATCAGTTTTAGGTTAGCTTTCATTGATCGTTGCCTGATTGTCTGTTTCTTAGGTCTGTTTCTTAGGAGCTTGGGAGCGCACCTCCGGTAACGTACCGCTACCGTACCAGTACGGCAATAAGGTAAGCATGTCATTAAGCCTTTGAGACGTGGATACTTTTGCAAATCTGTTGAAAACCACCCCTCAACAACCAACCACAGACAACCGACCACCAACCTCGAAGATAGATGCGAATAGACAAGCATGGAGCAGCAAGGAGCAAAAACCACAGTCAATATTGTCTTGGGTGGATTCGGGGAGATCGCCACGAAGGCCCACTTGCCTGCCATTCAGCGTTCAGACAACAACTTCCGCTTGGTGGCCATTGTCGACCCGAACAGAGATGCTGCTTTGGAGAGGCTCTCTCATTTCTCGCTGTCAGAAGAGGATATCGGGGTCTACCAATCCCTATCAAGTTGTCTACAAGACTGCAACCATTATGATATAGATGCCGTCGCTGTTTGTACGCCGTCAACAGTGACGCTGGATTTGGCTTTGGTAGCGATTCGTGCTGGGAAGCATGTGTTGGTGGAAAAGCCTCCTGGGGATTGGAGGCGCCTCCGAGAGATTAAGCAAATGGCGGAAGGACAACAACTTGCATTCTTTACGGCGTATCATACAGCGGCATGTGTGGGGTATCCTCTGGCCAAATCGTGGCTTAACAAGAATCTTGACTCGTTGCAGAAGGTACATGTCACCTGGAAGGAAAGTGTAAAAAAATGGCATCCTGGACAGATTTGGGTCACCCGAAAAGGCACCTCTGCGGTTCAAGGGTGCGATGGTGTATTGGACATTGTTTTCAATCCGCTTTCCCTCTTGTATGCATTGCTGGGACCATTGACATATCAGGAATCAAATTTGGAAGTACCCAAGAATTGGGAGACTCCCATCGCTGGGTCCTTTAATTTGATCGCTGCCAACAATGACAAAGGCATACCTGTGACGGGAGATTTTGCTTGGAATTACGAACCAGCAAGTGGTGCCGGTCCTGGAGAAATTTGGACCATTGACTTTGAAAGCTCCAATAGTTCTGTTATGAGCCTACAGGATGGAGGCAACCAAGAATACGTTGACAGTGAGCGAGTGACCTCTGAGCCCACAGCACCTTATCCTTTGAAACCAGAGTACGAAAATATCTACAGGACCTTTGCGAATTTGATTGAAACGAGTACTAGCTCTGTGGATGACACGACACCAAAGCTGCTCGAAGAAATCCAAGGCAACGCCGAGATACGTTCGGGTCCGCCGTATGAGCTCTAGCAAAACCAATCAATAGCTGGATGCCCTCCCTGATTTCTACAATTCACTGCGGTCAATACCATTTCAAATCAATACGCATGCTAGCTTTATCTGATTAGTCGTACTGTAGAAGCAAGTAAGTGAGGACGAATGTCGTCCTTCCGATGTAGCCTTGGGACCGCTCCTTACACATTGCAACGGCTCAGCATGGCCAAGAGTTCCAAACTCCCATTGGACGATCTGCGAGAAACTCCTCTCTTCTTTTCTGCTACAAATTGTTTGACGGCTTCGCTGTTGCCACCCAACACGCCGGGCTTTTTGGGAGGTTTCGGAGAGTGCTGTTTGGGGTGCGAATGCGGCGGCTGCGTGACGATGGTGTCTCCCAATTGATCCAGCAAGCTGTGCGCATAGGGTAGATAGTTGGCCTCACGCTGTTGTGGAGGTGCAGCTGGTGTATTCAACAAGGAGACAAGACTTGGGTTGTCGCGACGTCGATTGTCCACCACGCTGCTGTCGTCCATTTTGCTACTGTCCTCCATTATGATGCTGTCACCCAGAATGCTCTCGTCCAAGATGCTGTCGTTGAGAAGACTATCGTCGAAGAGGCTATTGTCCAAAAGACTTTTCTGTGCCGCGGACAATCTCCTGTCCAAGACACCTTGCAGCAGGGATGAGCAAGAAGACTCCAACGATTCTTCGATTGTCTCGTTGCTGCTGCGGCGGTTAGAGTCGGACCGTCTCGATTTGCGATTGGAGTCGTTACTGCTGCGGCGGCTGGAGGACATGCCCATGGAGTCTGACCTTCTTGATGTCTGACGGGAAGATGATGTGGAGCACAAGGAAGATGACGACATTTCATGCTGTGCATTCGACAAGGCCATTTCGGAGTAGGACAATCCCGAAAGCAGCAAACTAGAACGCCGTGTGAGAGAGTTTGTACGGAGGGAACTCTTCTTATTATCGTCGTCGTTGTTGAGACAGTAGATTCGGCTGGGCTGACGATGATGATGGTGGCTGGATAAGGTCAAGGAGGAAGAGGATGGACCCCTTTTCATCATGGAGGACGATGTTGCACTCTTGCTTCGCATGTTCATTGTACTCATCGAAGTGCGCTTGAGAAGGAATGGATTCTCTGTCGTGGGCTTGTTGCGAGAGGATGTCCACTGAGCATTGCCTTTATTGGAGGCGGGTTTCTGCTGGGCATTCGCGAGGGCCAGATCGGCCACGGACATTCCCGAAAGTCGCGTCGTGCTGAGACGTCTAGAGTAACTGTTGTTCTGAGCACCACCACCAGTTTCGGATGGTTGTTGCAAACTCCGAATCGTTGAGGGGCGTCGCGTGGGCATGTTGGTCGAAAGAGACGACGTCCACTGCGCATTCTTCTTGTGGTGATTGGAAGACGATTGTGCCTGCGAGAGTGCCATTTCGGAAACCGTCAGTCCCGACAAACGGTTGGAAGATCCTCGACGTGAAGCTCGTGGTAATCCGGCCTCGTTGGATTTCTGCTGTCCTACTAGATTGGACAACGGTTTGGGAGGAGTCAGGCTGCGAATGGAACTTCGTCTTTGGACCATCCCAAAGAGATCGTTTTGGCTCGAACGCTTGGCGCGGGGGAGGTGGTTGCTGCTGCTGGTTTCCAGTCCCTTTTGGGTGTTGTTGGAGACGAGTGACGACAAGGCATTACCGCTCGCACGTTTGCGTCGTTGGTGGTTGCTCCTGGTTTCCAGTCCCTTGTTGTGGTTGCTGTTGGAGACGAGTGACGACAAGGCAGTACCAGAACGGGCGCGCCCCATCTTTCGAGGGGTCTTCTCGGGCGCCTTGACGACGTCTCCGTATAATTCGTCCTCCTTCTCGGGCGCCTCTCCGTATCCAAGATCTTGTATTGAGGGAATCTCCAACGTTATACTACTGCGATCCAACCAAGAGCGCCTGGGAAAGCAACTACTGGTTGTGCTGTGATCGTCGTCGTCGTCGTCATCGTACTGTTCCGTGCTATTGACCTTTGTTGTCACCTCGGGCGTTTCTCTGGACTCGTCAAGTCCGGACTGTGTCTGGGTCAATGTTACTTCAGGCGATGCGCTCTGTCGTCGAAGGTTCTTGGAGATTTCGGTTTTCAATACGGCATTCGAGAGTCCCTTGGTTTGGGACATGCGTCGTGTCTTGTGCAAGGGTATCAAGTGGCAGCCATGACTGCTTGTCCGTTGTAGTTGTTTCGCGGAAGTAGTAGTAGTGCCATCCGGATGAGTGGTACATGTAGCACTACTAGTACGACGAAACAAGGATGGCCGTGGTTGGAAAATGCCCAGAATCTCTTGTGGATCGGGTGTCTTTGTTGGTGGCGGTAGCAGGGCTGGGACGTCCTCGTCGTTTGGTTCTCCCGCAATGCGTGCTCGTCTCGAGTACCGTTTGCTGGCAGTCGTCGTCGAAGCTGTACTGCTAGCCGTGGTGGATGTGCAGGAGTCCAAGGACGACGTGGAGGGACTTTGTTGGGTAATGGTTGCTGGCAGTTTCGCCATGAGATCGCTGTCACTGCGTCGCTTGTTCTTCTTCTGCTTCTTCAAGGAGCAGCTAGAACGGAGGGTATCCGGGTGAATCTCCTCGCCGTCGCTGTTGTCCATGGATAGCAAGTGTGCAATAGAGTTGCGAAGGCGAGTGTTGCTCGAAAGCTGTCGTTGGGGTAGCTTGCGTCTGGTGGTGATGGAAGCACTGCCAGATCGTCGCAATTCAAACTGAATTCCTTTGTCGGTCGTGGTGCTGCTGGTCTCTACTATAGTAGCCGTGGAGGATCGTCGGATAGGAGGAGTATCAGTGGCAGTAGCTGAAGCAATGACATTCTTATCTTGCTCCTCATCATGCTGCGCCAGTACATTCTGCAAGGACATGCGGAGACGACTGGAGCAAGATGAGCGGTTCCTGCCACTGCTGCAGTCCATGCCTGAGGCACTACTGGATGATTTGTTGCTGCTGTTGTGAGGTCGTCGTCGTCTTCTTCGAATACTGACGCTGCACTCGCTGCTACTACCCTCCATGGGTAGATTGAGCAAGATCTCCGTAGTCGAAAGTGCCTTGTGCAGCTGATCAGAAGCATCTTCCATCTTGTTGCCATCATTGTTGTCCTCCTGATGATGAAACTTGTAGAGACTCTGCAACGTCTCGGAATGGCTTTTCCTTCGGGAATGGGTGGTTGTATTAGGCTGATCTTCCAAATCGGGGCTGCTGCCACTACTACTGCTATCAGGGCCGGCCCGTTCAATGGTATAGTCTGCCAAGATAGACCTTCTCCTCCTCTGGTCCATGGCGGGTGGTTGCTGCTGCTGCTGTTCTCCTGAAGTGGTCATGGTAGCACACATCGTCGTAAGCTTGTTTCGGCTGCTCCTCCCGTTGATGGAGTATTGTCCAGTGCTATTAATACTTCTAGTACTAGTGGATTTGCTGCTGGAGCTGATCAAAGCCCTTCTTTTGCTATTGTAGTGGAATCGGACCGGGGGCGCAATACCCTTGCACTCCTGCTTCAGTGGCTCTAGTAGCGTAATAAGGGGTGACATGGCGGAGATACCAACACGATGATGGTGGCCAAGCAGACAACGAACTGTTTTACTGGCGACACAACAAACTCAGCTACAACTCACAGTGGCGAAACGAAGAGACCCAGTTACACTACACTGTAGCAGAGGGCTTCGATCTATGAGGATGTGAGCCTTTCCAAGGTGGTGTTTGGCTAATCACAGGCTACTGTAAACAACTTACTTTTTTGGAATTAATTCTAGGACGGTAGCCAAACAGGTCACTCGGTGGAGGACGGTTTTGTGGTTTGTGTGGGCGGGACAGTAGCGGAAGCCACAGGTCCACGTGTCACTAGCGGTACCATAGTGGTCAAAAGACTGCCCCCTTAAGCCTCAAGAGGGATATAAAGTCTTACCAGTTTGGCTGGGGCTTCAAAAAAGGGATTGTCAGAAAGAGCAGAGAAGCAAGGACATTGTTGGAAGCTTTGGAAGCAGATTGGAAGCTTCGCTGTTCGCTGGATCATCATGAAAAGGGCCCCACTGGCAAGCTGGACAGCTGGACCACTCGGAGTAGGAAGCTGTGAGCAGGAGCAGATCTCGGAGCTTGCAAGCTACATGTAGCTCTAGCTAGCCAGCAGGGTAGAGAGCCGCAGAGTTGAAGAGTTGCTGGTGAGTTGCAGAGTATCTGATTTTTCCTCTAAAAAAAGTCAACCTTCTTTTTTTTTAAAGTTGCCAAACAAGATCCAAAGTTGCCACAACCTTGGCCAATGCAGAGACAACATCTACCTGACTGCGTTGTTCTTCTCTTCAAAGACCAATTGACATCAAATCATTATCTGCAGGCAGTAGCTGTCGCTTGTGTTGAGCTACCTCACCCGAGGCCATAGGCTACACACGTGAGGGCATGAAATCATACACGAAAAAAAAACCTTTGCGATACTAGTACCCCCATACCCCATACCGGTACCGGTACAGCCCCATACCGGTACCCCATACAGCTCCATACCCCATACCGAACAAATAAATCAAACAGCTAATCAAACAATCAAACATTTCTACGTGCAGCCGGCCGCAACATTCACCGTTACTAAACGTGGACCTCCTATCTTGTGACGACAAAACGACAACTTACAGTAGTCTACTTTGGAAAGAGGATGCCAGGACTTCGTGTTGGACGGCATCATAGTCTACATGACAATGTACCGTACCGTACCGTACCGGTTGCACAATGCACACCAGCACACTGTAATCGTAGTAGCCAACAGCCGAACTCTGAAAGAAGCTGAAGAGAAAAGAGCCACAGGAGTTCCAGAATTCCTACCGTAGGCCTTTCCTTCTTTCAACTCGAAACAAATAATCCAAGATCGGATTGTCTTTAATGCTTATTAATAGTTCACCGTGGAACTGTCGAGCAAGACGAAAGTCATTTTACACTGCTTTTTTGCTCTGTTCGTCCCAGAATTTTAACTGGCCATAAAAGAAGGAACCCCAATCTTCAATCTAGTAGTACTGTACCTGGTACAGGAATAACCAGTAATTTTTCCATGCTAGTAAATTGTTAGGTCACGATTGAAATAATTCTCCACAATCAGTTTGGCGCCATGGCGCGCCACCTGTAACCGCTGGAAACCATTTAAACAGATAATGGATGAGCAAACATGCAATACATCATTGTTCGGCAGCACTGCAAAGGACACACTCACCATGGTGGAAGCAAGCTCTAAGCGGCCATAACCATCAATGCGGATGGTTCTTTCTGGAGGCCGAAAAGTGTCACTCAATGTCACCATCGCCCTCCACTCGGTCCGACTCGGTTGGCTCCTCTGTAGTGGCTTCAGAGACGTCCACTAGGCCAGCGAGGAATTCCGCTTTCTCCTGTGCTGTCATGGCTTTGAACCAGGATGTCGCTTTGGCCTTGGCAACTTCCTTGTTGCGTCCGTACTCAGTCTCTTCCAGAGTGATATTAGAGGCAACTCTTGTCACCAAATCCACAAGTTGTTGCTCTTTGTTTTCTGGCCACAACTCAACAGCATCGACAGCAACATCCTTCAGCTCAAGCCATCTACTCTGTCTATCTTCCTTCTTTGACAGTTTCGATGGGCAAGGTTTTCCACTCTTCCAAGCAATAAGATCCTTGAGATCCTCTCCGGTGTATCGACTCTCTGGCTTCTCAGAGTGGATAATAGCAAAAGCCTTCTGTTGGCGCTTCCACGCTGCCATATGAGCTTTCTTCTCCTTCTCAAGAGCTTCCACTTCCTTCTTCAATCTTGCACGCTCATCCGCAATCAGGAAGTCATCATCATTGAGTGCTGCACCACCAGTCACCTTAAAGACTTGACCTTGGGTTGCGGCTGCCTCCAATGCAAGCTGTCGCTCCATTGTTCGTGGAGCAGTCACCACCGCAGCTCTTTTCTTCTGTTGGAACTCAGGAGCCTTTGCTCTCAGCAAGTCTCCATTGTAACCAAAGCTATTGAGAATATCGCAGCACATGGTATTCTGTTGGTTGAGCTCTTGGAGGTAGGAAGCCATTGGATCAACAGAATCATCAGCTTTGCCTTCTGAGTCGACAACCAACTCATGTTGGATTTTTGGATCATTCAGAGCAGCTCGAGAGAACCTTGGATAGACGCCAAGCTTGTCCGCCCATGCATGTTGTGTCTTAGCAATGGAGAAGGCTTCTTCCACAGCGTTGCGCAATACAGGAAAGGATGGATCCTTTTGTTGCCGGAGAGCACTCCCATAACACAGGAGACCAATATCATTTCTTGTGATCGAATCTCTTGCTTCAGGCGTGTTCTGTCGGTACTCCCAAAGGAGCTGAAGGTTGTCAAAGAAGAGCATCTTGAATGAACCAAACAGCATATCCATGATTTGAAGGATGTGAGTAGTGTTGGGTGGACCAGAGGGGAAGAGATAGATGCCGAGTGACCGCAGCTCCATGAGCATCTCCTTGTTTGTTCTTCCAGGGCCGCCGTCGACAAGCAAAGTGGCTCTCTTGCCTGGGACATCCGCAGTATCTTCAACAATTAATGGAATAAAGTTTCCTCTTGTCCACTTGCCAAACTGCTCCTTGTTCATCCCTCCTTTTTGATTTGCTCCGTAGGTCGCAGAGACTCTCTTGGTTCCTCCATCGTTCAGCAAATATTGAGCTTCTGTCTCCAGAATATCAACAAGGAACTCGGCAGGGACCACGATGTTTTCTTCCTTTTCGGCATCGGATGGAATCTGAAAGTGCTCTGGTAACTTCTCTCCAGAGGCAAAGGTTCCCGCCAACAGAGTACAATGATAGGAGCTCTTGTGCGCTGCATAGATTGCTTCAACCTGCAGCCGTGGGTTGTAGAACTGCATTGGAGGACGTCCACCCTTTTGGCTCTTGGTATCATCAAGTGTGAGCCCAGACTCATCACTATTGGCAATCCTTCTCCCTTGAGTCTCGTCAATCCAAGTAAGCTCGCCATTGTTTTCTACATCATGAGTGTTCTCGGTAGCAGCGCCAATGTGAACGAAGTGAGCCTTGAGAGAATCAAACCAAAGGTTGATATTGCTGTGAGTAGCCCAAGCAAGTCTTCTCTTCTCGACGTGGTTGGGCTTGCCACAATCAAGGACATCCCCAATCTCTTTCTCCATTCGTTCAAGTAGCCATCGCCCTTGCCGTTTGCCAAGTCCTTCCTTCTTGTTGACGCATGCGTTCAAGAGTTTGGAGAGTCTGGACTTGTCAACATCATCAGAGAGTGACCCATACGTTTCCACGGCGCCACACATTGCTTTGAAGCCGACAGGATCAATTCTTCCCTTGGGACCTCGGCGCTTGGGGCTCTTGCCTGCGTCTCCACGCTTGATCATGTTGCGAATGGTCTTCCCAACAAGCTTGGTTCCGTGCTTCGCATTGTATTCCTTTGCAATCGTCTCGGCAGATTTTGGAACGTAAATAAAACCGGCAGATTCTTCCACCTCTGCTCTGAGAAGCTCCTCCTTCCACTCTAGTGATGCCGCCTTGTAGAATGCATTGTGCGTATCCCGTGCTTGCTTTTCTTGTTTGCGAACGGCTGCAGCTTGTCGGCCAGTCAATCTATTCTTTTTGGCAAGTTTTTCCTTGAGATTCTTCTCTGCTGCGGCTCTTTCTTCCACAGATAATACAGGTGGTGGTGGTTTGGCTGATGGTTGCTCATCCTCGGCTCTTGCTGCTTCAGCTTCGGTCCTCATGGTGCTGGATCGACGGCGGACCTTTTGACGGAGGTTTGGATCCTTTGCTTCTGGAGTCTCAAATCCAGCCAATTTCATTGCTATATTCACATTCATTCCTTCAGATCTCTTTGCCAACTTGAGGATGCCGGCAGCTCTAGCAACCTTCGTCTTTTGTGGTGTTTCATGGCGCCGTTTCTTTGTCATGGTGGCGGATCCAACGAAACGAAAATGAAAAAGTACGGAAAGCAAAATGAAAGAGTAAGCTGTAAAGATCCACGATTGTTATCTTCTATCTCTAGTAACGAATTTATTCTATCTATTGCATGTTGCCCATGCCATGGCTGGAGGTGCCCGAGTTGTTCTGTTCGATGCCATATCACTTCCCAATGGAAAAGTATTGTGCTAGGGGAATGAAGTGGATTCGGAGAGAATTGTGAGGGGTAGTTTTGCGGTGGTGGCAGGCGCCCTCGCATGCGTTACATGGAAAGGGAAAAATTACTGGTTATTCCTGTACCAGTACCAGGAAGCAGGAAGACTACCGGTAGAACGCGTGAACCGCAACAAGAGCACTGGACCTCTGTGGAAACTCGAGTCGTGCTACCGATCGTCTCCTAAATCCTTTTGATCGTCTCCTATTTAATGGATTTCGTCTCCTAAAAATAAGAGACGAAACCGATCGTCTCTTAAATCTTAAATCGTCTCCTATTTTCAACGGATCGTCTCCTATTCTCAACGGATCGTCTCCTAAGTACACCATGTAAACTGTATGGTATCGTCTCCTAAATCTTTCGGATCGTCTCCTATTTCGAAACGATCGTCTCCTAAATGGAATGTCTCCTAATGAATCGTCTCCTAAA